CTCAGAAGCTCTTCATATTGAAGGCAAGTTACAACACAACTCAGATCTTCATTTTGCTCATGCAACACAGCGAGATTCCAATGCCAATGCTTCCAAAGGTTATGTTTCCTATCATAATAATCGTGGCTCTTCTCGTGGTGATTCTCGAGGCACTTTTCGTGCAAATCGATTCAGTTCTAATCGATACTCTTCTTTTCGAGGAGGTCGTTCTCAAAATCGCACCAGATCTTCTTTTGGAACCATTTGCCAGATTTGTGGAAAAGCTAATCACTCCGCTTCTGAGTGTGGGCATCGGCTTGATCTTCAATATCAGCCCCAGCCACATTAGTCTCAACAATCACCCTACTGCTTCTTCATCTGGTGCTTTTATGCCTCATCAATCCAAGGCTTTTCTCACCACAATCCCTGATGATACTGCCTCTCATGCTTCTAGTCCTTGGTTCTTGGACTCTGCTGCTTCTGACCATGTCACAAATGACCTTTATAATCTGAATTCTTATCAGTCCTATACTAGTTCCGATCAAGTTACCATTAGCAACGACACTTCTCTTCCTATACATCACACTGGCAAAGGTATTCTTCCCACCCCATGCCACTCTTTTAAGCTTGTGAAAGTTCTTCATGTTCCTTCTATACACTCCAATTTGCTCTCTGTTCAACAGTTCGCCAAAGACAATGATTGCTCCATAATTTTTGATAAAGCTACCTTTTCCATCCAGGACAATCATTCTAAAGCAATTCTTCACAAAGGTTTTCATGCTAATGGCCTCTACCATTTTCCTGTGGGTTCTTGTCCTTCTCCACATGTTTTTGCTGCGTCATCAACATCTCCTTCCACTGCGGCTATATGGCACAAAAGACTTGACCATCCTTCATTTGCAAAATTTCAATTACTAAAATCTCAATTGTCATTGTCTCATTCTTTCAATAAAACTGATTTGTCTTGTGTTGGGTGTTCCATTTCTAAATGTCATAGACTTCCATTTGTGCTTTCTAATTCTAAAACTGATGTCCCATTAGCTTTAATTCACACTGACGTTTGGGGACCGTTTAATTGTTCCTCTAGTGCTTATCGCTATTATGTGTTGTTTGTTGATGATCATAGTCGCTTTACATGGATTTATCCTCTTGTCTATAAAAGCGAAGTCTTTTCTAAATTCATGATGTTTAAAGCATTTGTGGAAAAATAATTTGGTTTCCTCTTAAAATACTTCGCTCCGATGGGGGTGGTGAATTTATCAATACTCAAATGCAAGACTTTTTGAATTCTCATGGTATTCTTCATCAATTTTCTTGCCCACACACTCCCTCTCAAAATGGAGTCACGGAGAGGAAGCATTTGCACATTATTGAAATAGCCATCGCCTTGTTATATCAATCTTCTTTACCCCTATCTTATTGGTTTGAAGCTATTGCTACAGCCACCCATCTCATTAATCGGCTTCCTAGTGCTTAGCAACACAAAACAAAATATTTTGCAGAAAAAAGAATCTAAATTAAATAATGATAATTTTACACATGTCTCAAGATCGAAAATTTGCTATGCTCGTAATCATCTCTTGCGCCTCTAGTGATAATTATCAAAATTTAATTTCATTCCATGCGCAAAAAATAATCAAACAATCTCCCACTATTTATGGCATATACAAAGCATGATAAATTCCATACAATAGCATCTCAATGTAAATTTACAAACAACTCATGCTATATTTATTTAATAATGGAATTCAAATAAATAAATAAATAACTAATTATGCTTCTTTAATTGCAACATATTACAAACCCAAAAAATATGTTGTATTCAATATTTAGATTATGCCATAATTAAAGTGTACATCATTTTAAAATTTTCTGGAATTTTCTGGAATTTTAAATAACTAATAAACACACATATAATTAGAAATAAAAAATCCAGGAACTGATAAACAGAAACAATATTCAGATTATGCCATAATTAAAATGTACATCATTCTGAAATATTCTGGAATTTTAAATAACTGATAAATACACATAAAATTAGAAATAAAAAATTCAGAAACTGATAAACTGAGACAATATTACCAGTAAATAGTAAAACCTCTCAGAAGTCTATAATAAAAATTTCAACCCTAGAAAATTATTTATGCAATACCAGAAGCATTTTAAAGCATAAAACATGAATTATTAACACAGAAAAAATATTTTATATTTTCGTAAAATTTTCAAAATTTTACAGAATGTAGAAAAATTAATTCTGAATTTAACAGTACAAACCATGCATAAAACAAATATGTAATGAATTAATTATGACCATTTAACGCGATACAGAATTAAAAACAAAACAAACAGTGCCTTATTCATCAGCAGCCAAGCCAGCCAAGCCGTCGGAGGAAAACGGCGCGGCTCACAATGCGGCTCAGTGCGTGGCGCGCGCGTGGATAGCGCCGCTGACGCGCGCGTAAGGGCGCGTGCAGGCACGTCGGTAGAGCATCTGGCGCGTGGGAGCACGTGGATGTGCGTGGAAACGGCTCACAGCGTCAGGTGGCGCGTGCAGACCACGCGCCACCTTCCAGGGTGTTTTCTGGTCCGATTTTTGTACTGCCAGACTCCTTTTTTTTCAAAAAAAACATTTATGGTATGAAAAAAGATATTAATGAACATAAAAAAAATATATTTATGCTCTTAATCTGATAAAAGTAGATTTTTTTCTCCTTCACAAATATTCATGTATATAATGTATACATATACATATAAAAGTATACACATGATTAAAGGAAACACGAAAATATCCATTAACTACACTCTGATACCAATGTAAATCATAGTATAAAACATGCAGCGGATAAAATATTTAGATCATACCTTTTCAATAATAGAACCTCGTGGATAAATCATGTGCTTCCAGAGTCTGATAAACCAACCCAGCAGTGAAGTGATATCACAGATTGAATATCACCCACACAAATCACAGTGCAAATGACTTGATCGTTGTTCCATTAACTACGCTCTGATACCAATGTAAATCATAGTATAAAACATGCAGCGGATAAAATGTTTAGATCATACCTTTTCAATAATAGAACCTCGTGGATAAATCACGTGCTTCCAGAGTCTGATAAACCAACCCAGCAGTGAAGTGATATTACAGATTGAATATCACCCACACAAATCACAGTGCAAATGACTTGATCGTTATTTTTGGGAGAGAGTCAGTATATGAGTAGAAACAGATCATACGTTGTTTCTCTCTTAATCACACATAACCCATATTCCAGATATATAATATGTTATTATTATCTATCCATATCAGTTAATGGAGATAATATCTGTATGCTGAGTGGTTATCCTAAATAGATTTGAATTCAATTTCAAAACCTATTTGGATAAGGTTCAAATTCAAATTCAAATGGTCATGCCACATGGGTGCCCATTACTAACAGTTGAGGTACCTGACAAGGACCATAACTTAGAATACATTTCTGTCATCTGCGGCAAAATCAAGATTGAACGCATCTCTCAACAGCATAGTCTGAAACCTAGTGAAAGAAGCACCAATCCGGAGATCTATTTCCTGTGCAAGACTCAAAATCAAATGAAAGGAAATATACAAATTTACATACAGCCAACTCATGTCAACAACAGCTAATCAGAGTGAGCAAACTAGAAGCAGTTTCTGTCTAAAATAAGGATTGTGCAAATATAAGCCAAGAAGAAAGTCACCAAAGTACTATAACAAGATTGACAAAGTCCCAACTGAGTGATTGGCAGGTACTCACTTGCCTAACATCAACAGCATCAGCAAACAATTGATTAGGTCGAACAAGAGCCTGGACCGACTCACGGATATCCCTGAGCATCCCAAAAGGTAAACATCATGAAATTTGAACTCAAAAACAGATAATCGGAGCTGAAAGAGAAAAAAGATTAGTCTTCCAAACCTCTCAATTAAGGCAGAGAAACGAGCCCTCCACACATTAAGATGACGATTTGCTTCTGTGCAGACTTCAACAACTTCAAATGCAATGTTTTCTCCTTCTCTATCACAATCCAACCACAACACAAGCCACTGGCACTTCCTAGCTTCCTCCTCTAATGTCCTCTTTATATCCAACTTATCCTAAGCAATTAAAGAGCTGTTTTAAGAGAATTGCTTACATTATACCATCACCAATTTTATTCTCTTTTTTCATCAAATTTGAGTGAAAATGTGGTTAAAAGCTTTATCTGGTTTGGAACACTCCAAACCTTACTTTCTCTTTTTCCATCAAATCTTTTTAAAAAATTCCAAATATATACTTAAAAACCTGTTTTAACCATTTTTGATAAAAGAAAATCATCTCCAATCCTTCGCCAATTCTCTTTTGATGAATAAACAGCTAAAAATGAGCTCCAACCATTTCAACAAACTTGCATCCAATCAAGGGAGAGGCAAAATTTCGCCAAATCAAGGTTGAACCAAATCCTTTACCAAAGTTCCAACAGTCATATTTTTACTCAAATTTGATAAAATTTTAAAAAGAGTAAAAAAATGGAGGATTTCCCTTTAAAACGGGTTTTTAGTATAATTTGGAATTTTCAAGAAGATTACAGTCATATTTTTAATCAAATTTTATGAAATTATAAAATAGTATGATTGGAGATGATTTTATTTCATAAAAAATGGTTACAACAGTCCTAAATTCGTAATTTTCAAGGAGTAAGAATTATAGATGGGGACAAAAAACAAAAAAAAAAAAAAAAAAAAAAAAAAAATTGGTTTTTAGTATAAGTCTGTAGTTTTCAAAAACATTTGATAAAAAAGACAAAAAAACAAAGTAAGAATTGGAATGTTCCACACCAGATCGAGCTTTTAACCAAAATTTTCACTCAAATTTTATGGGGGCAAAAAAAAAAAAGCAAGCATTGGAGATGCTCTTATATATATATATATATAGAGAGAGAGAGAGAGAGGAACCTCAGGAACGAATTTGCGGACAGGGGCTTGGTAGAGGAGGAGGGGATCGCAGGAGTGCCATTTACGATAGCGATCTTCGAAGTCGAGCTCCATGAGATGGCCAGTGACGGAGGTGAAAAGCATGTGACATTGTTGGCCGTGAATGGTGTAGGCGAACTCGAAGATCCTGTTGAACCTAGACCTACCGTCCCTCACTCTCATCCCACATTGGCTACTCTTCGACAGTATCCCCGCCACCGCCTTCGCCACCGACGGCTTCTCCGCCACGTTCAGTACCCTTATAGTTCTGCCTCCGCCTCCGCCTCCGCCTCCGCCTCCGACGCCGGACATTGCTTCGCCGGAAATTGAGGCACCGATTCGAGTGTATTTCGCTTCTTCGGTGCTGTCGAAAGCAGGGGAATGGGAGCGAGGATCCTCTCCTTGCAGCTTCCGTGCTTGCGCTCGTCCTTGCAGGCCTTCGGGTCTACTTTTAGGCCCAATTTTGATAATCTGAACCGTTCATATTTTATGATTTATTCAGTATATCATACCTGTAAAAAATCAAGTTGATCGGATATCTTTATTTTTTATTTTTTACACTAAAAGATAAATTTTTTATAAAATAAAAAATAAAATAAATTTAAACAAAATATCACATCTAATTTTATAATTATTTTTATTTTTTTCTTACAAATATCACATATAATTACAAAAAAAAACTCAACTATCTTTCTAAACATCAAAATTTTTTTATCCAATAATATCCTACAACTAAAAAAATCTACATAAAAACTCACTTCCCAAACACCCACAACTTCTTATAGGTAGTTGTTTGGGAAGTGAGTTTTCTTTAAGTTTTTTTTAGTTGTAAAATATTATTAGAGAAAAAAAAAATTGTATTTTGGAAGATAGTTTGATTTTTTTGTGATTGGATGTGATATTTGTAAGAAAAAAAATGAAATGATTATGAGGTTTGATGTGCTATTTTTGTTTGGATTTTTTTTTTTTTTTGTAATCAATTTGCCTTTTAGTGAAAAAAACTAAAAAACCAAGTTCTCAAACACCTAATAGTATAAAGGACATTTTAATATTTTAAAATTTTATAGTATAAAGGATATATAATATTTTTATAATATCGAAAATCCCTCAAATCGATTCAAAGAAAACTCAATTCAAAAAATTTCTCTAGTTTCAATCTATGACTTATAAATTTATCTGATTTGTTTACTATTTTCTCTGCGTTCAACAACAACAACCATCTAGCTTTAAGTAAGTCCAAGTCCAATCTACCACTGTACTCTACATATATATTCATCATCTCCCGGTAACAATCCATGAAAGTATCATCTATATTCATCATCTCTAAGTAACAATCCATGGAAGTCTCTCTTTTCAATCCAAAGAATTTCTCTGGTTTCAATCTAGAGAATTTATCTCCAAACCAGAGAAATTCTTTCTAATTTACTTATAATATTCTCTAATTTGTTTACCAGTTTCTCTACGTTCAACAACAACAACCATCTAGCTTTAAGTAAATCCAAGTTTAATCTACCATTGTACTCTACATATATACTCATGATCTCCAGGTAACAATCCATGGAAGCCACTTTCTTCAATCCAAAGAATTTCTCTGGTCCAAACTAGAGAAATTCTCTTTATTTGCAATAGAGTTGTATTTTTATGAACAGTTCTTGGTGATCATACATTGATCCAGGAAACCTTAACCTTAGATGTGTCTTCACAATCTTGAATCACATCTCATAATCAAGTTCGTGGGAGTGAGATTCCAATTCGCAATGACTCTGGCTAGCCAGCATCAAGTTCATTGAAGCCTAGCCAGTTGTGATCTGAGTTCACAATCAAGATCATCCAATTGCAAACCAATCGCAATCTGAGTTCGGATTTCGCGATGCACCCTAGCCACTCAAGAATTGAACCTATGCTTTCATTGATGTTCTATTATAATTCAACCTAGATTCAGAATCGTAGCCCACATGCGAGTTGATCTTCCTTGGAACTGGATCGCAATCTGACTCGAAGTTGAACCCTAGCACTTTTGTTTCGAAGTTGCACTAGATTTTGAGTTGCGATCATATTTCACTTCTGATTTTGAAAGCTCAACTTCAATGTCATAAAGAGGATGATTGTAGGGAAGAGGTACTACGGGGAGGCGGTTGAGAATTCGGAGGAAGAGAAAAGGTTCTAGGAGATTTGATTTGAGAGAGTCAAATTTCTCTATCATATATGGGTGTAAGGTTGAGGGACCTTAGATATCATAAAATAAATATTGTGAACCTTTTCTATTACTAAAAATAGAAGAGGAACCTTAGACTAATTTTTCCTTAAAAAAATAGATAAATTTATATGATAAATTATAATAATTTTTTTTTAAGTAAAATACTTGGTATCAAAGCCTCCTATTTAGTAGAACTGTGGGAAAGTGATTATAAATTATGACTTAACAGATTATAGATTATAACTTTAAACATAAGTTGTTAACCTGTGTAGTGCAGCTGTGAGATTATAGATTTAATCAACAAAGCAGTATTTGGTTAAATAAGCTGTAAAATATAATGTTCTTTTTGTCCCTTTTTCATTTTATTTTTTTTATATTCATTTTAATTATTTATTTCTATATTTCTTTTCTTTATTATTATTAATTGTTTTTTTCTTTTTATTTATTTTCTTTTTCTCCTTATTTTCTTTTCTCTTCTTTCTTTTTTATCCCCCTCATTCTCTTCTTTTCTCTTATTTCTTTGTTAATTTTGTTTAATTTATTAATTCATTACATTCTATTTTTTTATATTCATTTTAATTATTTATGTCTATATTTATTTTCTTTATTATTAATAATTATTTTTTTTTCTTTTTCTTCATTTTATTTTATTTTCTTTTATTTTCTCTTTCTCCTTATTTTCTTTTCTCTCATTCCTTTATTTTTTTTTCTTCTCTTATTTCCTTCTCTTAATTGTTTTTTCTTCTCTTATTTCCATATTTATTTTTTTCTTTTCTTCTCTTAATTTTTTTTTTCTTTTTCTTCATTTGATTTTCTTTTCTTCTCTTCTTACATATTAATTATTTTCTTTCTTTTTTCTTATCTATTTTTTATTTTTTTATTATTTTTTTTCTTATATGTTCTCCTATTTCACCCACGACGGCCAAAAACCCTAGAAATGGCTTGATTTCCAGCAATGAGCTCAAATCTAGTAATTGCACCAACACCGGAACGACCCCCTAAGCCACTACGATCAACATGAAAGAGAGAGAGAGCTCTGGCTCTGGTCCTGGTTCATGAGAGAGAGAGAGAGAGAAAAGAGAGATCGTGACGGAGCAGATTGTGATCATGATATGGCAAATCATAATCATGGTGGCGCTAGGGTTTCAAATCAATCGCGAGAGAGAGAGAGAGAGAGATCACGATGGAGCAGATCGCAATTGCGGCGACGCTAGGGTTTTAGATCAATTGCGATGGTTAGGTTTTACTCCTCAATTAAGAGAGAGAGATGTTGATGAGCTTCTTACTGTGTTGTTGGGTTACAATGTAAAGGCCTCAGACATGGATGATGTGCTGTATTGACCCCTGATTGCCACACATTCTGTCGCCAAAAATCTCCTCTTTCCTTTCGTGAGAGGAAGAGAATCAATGTGTTTTTGTTTATAACACTTGTAATAACTTGAAAGTGCAAAAGGCATTTAAGTATTTGATATTCAGCTTGCCGCTTGAGCTGAAAAAATAAGCACCCAAGTAACAGTAGATCTACTTTTCCGCCGTTTTGGGGATGTTTTATTTACCCCGCAAAAATGGCTCATTCTCGCTCTCAAATATTTATTTTTGTATTGTTTGGTAATGGGATTGGCTTGACTGAATAATAAAATAGGTTTACAAGCTAATAAGATAAAATATCATATTTAAATTATAATTATTTTATTTTTTTTATAAAAAATTTAAAAAATTTAAAAAATAAACTCAAACGAATTTTTTAACAAAGATTATAATAGTAAAAAAATCAAAAAATTAACCCAACTTTCCAAACGAAGAAAGGTTTCACTTCTGTAGGAAATCCAATTTGAGATATTAATATTCACTCGGTTTTAGTTTTCAGAATTCACTTTTTAAGAAATTTTACTTTTTTGTTTTCCGTTTTTTTTTGTTTTTACTATTTTTTTAATATTTTAAGTAAATTTTTTAATTTTTAGACACGCTTAACATAAATATACTTAAAAAGTATAAATTTTACGAAAAAAATCTTTAAAAAATTCACTAAATATAAAAAATATATTAAAAAAATGAAAAATTGGTATATTTTCATATTTTTGTGTATTTATTAATTTTCTAAAATATTTTTTCACAAATTTTTATTTTTAGATACATTCAAGTAACGTGCATCTAAAAAACTAAAAATAAAAATAAAAAATGCTCAAAATTTTAAAAATAGTCACTAAAAACAAAAATAAAAATACTAAAAATAAAAAACTCAATTTCCAAAAAATTGAATTCAAAAAATTGAAACCAAACACACTGATTTGGTTTTTTTTTTTTTTTTAGATAGGGAGATAATATTTGAGTAATGCTAAGGATCATGAAAATGATCATGAAATATTCTCCACATTTAGATTACACATACAATAAAACACCATACACTAATCAAAAGATAAAAAAATTTCATAAAGTATTTCATGATATTTTTTTCATGATTCCTAGTATTATTCATAATATTTTGATTTAGTAGGTCTATTGTGAGCTCAATTTCGAATTTGTTAAAAATAATTAAAAATTTAAAAATTAAAATGATTAGATTTTTATAGTTATACATTTAAAATACACTTGTATTAAAAAAAAATAGACAATTATTCTTGAAATTATATTTATGATCAATTCTTTTAAGGCAAATGTAATTCAAATATATAGTTTCTGAAGTCCAATCATCTTGATTTTTTAGATATATTTATTCTTCTCAATATGTTTTAAAAAGTTAACAATTTTGATCACCAAAATTGGGTTCACTAAACCCAAATACTCTCTCAAGTTGGACTTTCAACTTGAAAGAAATCCAACCCTTTATTTTTGTTTTGAAAAATTACAGCCAAGCAACAAATTTAAATTGGGCTCAGTAAAAGAAAAGTTTGAAACCCGGACTTAAGCCCCCAAATTTTCTGTGTAAGTGTTTGTACAGTGGAAATTAAATTTATATAGTGTAGGGTATATGATAATTTTGAGTAATTTTTTGGTAGTTAAGTTTGAATTTGTAGTATTATTCATATAACAAAATAAATGTTGAATTTTTAATTTTATCAATTTAAATTATACTCTTTTTATTCCATTATAATTTAAATAATTTGTCTATTTTATATTTTGGGAACAACGTTAAATGCTAGCTTA